AAACGTTGGATCTCATGATTAAAATAAAGCCAAAAGACAAAAATATCAGGGTATGTGCATGTATATGCATGTGTCAAATACTTAATTCCATGGTAGATATTGAGGTTATTCATTAATAAACCCCTACTGCATGCAAAAATATGTTAATGCTCTCTTTTTCGAATATGCTGTGATCGAGAAATTTTGATTGTAATTTTTTATAACTCATTTCGTTGTAATCAACCAATATGAGATGATAGAAGCGGTAGATCTATCTATGCAGTTGATTTATATATGCTGATGATTCTCATTTTTTTATGTTTATATTTCACAGGATAACTTGGGGGAACTAATGCAGGTAGTAGCACATTATTGTTTTCTGGGAGTGTAACTTTAATTATGTCTGAAACGTATAGAAAGGACAGTTCAAGAAATAAATATGAGTAAATAATTCACTGATCTTGTTTAATATCCCCATTTTTGCTGTGTAGGACGAACGTCTTGTGTCATTTTTGGCGAACACAATCTCCAATGGCCAGAAAGATGACATTCAAACTGCCCTTCGTGTGCTCCAAGAATCGTGCAGGAAAACTGATTTTCATATTAAATGGTAAGGAAATCGATGGATTATAAAAATTTCCGTGTTGAAAGCTATTTTCTTCTCAGAAAAACTATAGAAAAATTATGTTACGCTTTAAAAAAGTATTTTTGTCCAGGATTGTAAACATTTTATATATGCATGCAATCAGTCATTGTGTAGGAAGAGATTAATTTTGTTTCAAAGTTATGAATATGGAGAGATTATTCTCAACTTCCCCCCAGGCTTGGTGAACAGATCTTTGGAAACAATCGGAAGAAAGAAGAGGAATTGAAGTCATTGCGTAAACAACAAGATGATGTCAACCTTTCTCCATTGTCGGAGTCAACATTCGAGCCTGGTTCGAGCATCTTGTCAAAGGATCCACTGAAATATTCGTTAAAACGGCGCGACCGAAATCATCCGAAGACGAGTACCTTCGTAAACAGCATGCTAGATGAAAGCACTATTGAAAATTTAATCGATAAAATGAAGTCGGGAATGGAGGTACCTAACTATTTTCGGCGACTTGTCGGCAGGATATGTTTGACTTGGAGCAAGCTTCTTATCAAGTTGTTGCGATATTGTTCGCTATCAAACTAGTTGAACTATATAGGTTATCGCTAGTTATTTTGTAAAAAATTCAGTACAGTTTTGCATTGAATTGCTCTGCATCAAGATATAATGTAAGATTTCTTCTTTCCAGATAAAAGATACGAAAGCATCAGAAATTATGGATGTTTATGAAGCCAAACTTAATTCACTTCAGGTGTGGTAAGATTCTTTCCCTAAGACTGCAATGTCCTTTGTAAAACATCCCAGTCATTCATTTAGGATAGATTTAAAACATTGCACATGCAGGTGATCAAAATCCAAACAACGTACATGCATTTTAGAAGCACTGTACCTATATCAATCGTTTTTGACTTGCAAACTTCAATTTAATGAGCGTGTAGTTGAGTTGTTACAGGATGAAGATCATATTTTGAAATGCTTTGATATCATCACATGCAATATGTATTCACACAAGATTTGGGTCCATAGGAATGGACCCAAATGCATTTTTATCTATATTTCGAATTCTTCAACAGACAAAGGAAAGTCATTTACAAGATCTGCTGGAAGCAAAGACGTTGGCTCTTGCCCAGTCTGACCGCATGATCTCACAGTATCGATGTAGAAGAGCACAGTCTGAGGCGGAGGTGATTACAGTATTTGTTGTATAGGTATCAATATATTATATGTAGGCAGTACAAGTTAGTCATAGATATAGCCAGTATGAGTTTATGAACAATATGAGTATTAGAAAGGATGGAGAAATATCCTGGTGGAGTACGTCTAAAATATCCTTTTTAATCTTTTATCCAAACTCTGAAGTTAAGAAAATTTCTCCATCTCTGCTCTACCTGACACAATAAAACTTGAATGGTATTTGACCAAGTAAAGTATTAGAGAAGGACATCTAGTCTCGCTGTTGTTCATTAAGTTCTTCAAAACCCGACTATTATTGTGTTGCAGTGCACGAAGCTACGGCATATGTTGCAAGAGACAGAAAAACGTTGTGAAGCCCAGGTTGAACAGGTATACATAAAAACTGAACACACGATTGATCTTTTGTAGAGTAACTAAGCACAGAAGAATATAATATATACTCTACCCCCACAGAGCAGAGCCCACAAAGAATACATCTGGAGCATATATGTAATGTTTTATCACATCTGTACTCTCGGGGTATGTCCAAACAAGCCGAACACCTGTCTTCATTGCACGATGCAAACACATGCATCACGCATGATAAAGATTATTACATGATTACATGATTAAGATCTTTTAATTCGACCTATAAATATGGAATAAGCACGGAACAATGTGATACATGCACGGAATGTGCTGTAGAAGCCTTTGTCCTAGAATCGATATTTGTCTCTGTAAAAGTTGTTCAGAGAGACTAGGGGCGTACTTTGTGAGGAAGGAGGCCAATTGGGGAGAGTGGCCGTTAGGGAAACTTTCCTACGCGACCAGACGAATTTGGGACCGCTAGAATTCCGGTTCAGGTGACACCGCAGAAATTGGTGTTTAAGACGTTTCAACCCGAAAATCTAATCGCTGGTTCACAATTGTGCATTTCTGTATCGCCCTATCAAAGAGAAACCTTTTGAATATCTTAAAAAAGTTCAATTTTTCTTCTGAATACGCATTCTGCAATCTTTTGACAGCTCATCATACACATCTGACCGCTGTGAAATGGCCATTTTGAGGCTTAAAGTATACACAAGGTTATTAATTCAGACGATTCGTTTTTACCGTGAGCAAGCTTCAAATCTTTTGTGCAAGACATATTTTCTTGAATATTTATGAATCTTTTTCCTCACCAAGTTTGAAGTCTAAGTATCGAGAATTGCGGCTAAGCCTATACCAATTTCCGCGGTGTCGGTTCAGGTGTTCATGCAATCTTGTTTTCCAAGCCCGCGATCCTCTAGCGAGGTAACTAGGTTATGGAATCTAAATCGGAAGCCAGAAACTGATGCTGATACTGGGAAACATTTGATTGATACGATTGCAAAAAATTAAACGATATTCAGTCGGTTTTGTTTTTTATTACTTGACAATTTCTGTTTTGTATTACAACATTCCATACAACAACCAATAAGAATCATTTCTATTTTCAATAATCCCAGTGCCCTTGTTTCCTCGCTGGAACACCGCGGGCTCGGAGAACGAGATTGGTGTTCACGTGGTAGGAGAAATAAAAATTTAACCGGTTCTACGTGTTCTCACAAGCAAATCGGAAGATATCGAGGACGGTCCCAAATTCGTCCGTTTCCATGTGGACGTAAAGAATAAAGTCTAAAGCCCGACGCACACTGGAGGAAACAGCTAGGCAGAGCGTCACTCGTGACTGTTAGCTGAGGTGTTTCCTCAAGTGTGCGGTGTCGTATTCTGCATTTTCTGGCATGCGTGCTATCTGCGTCGGATATTCAACATGTTGAATAATTTTGTGCACGAGTGAACATTTCCTCACAGTCCCACACCGGGTGCGTCCTGAGCTATCGGCTCAGCAGTTGGAGCGAATGCGAGTGTGTTCTTTATTTGAATTATTTTCACAACCCAAGTGGACGCAAAATAACTTAATAGTTGCCGAATCAGTACTGGAAAAAAATTAGCGGTTTTTGGTCGATTATGCCTGTCTATACGAGGTAAGGTGTCTTGAGTTACTCATTTTTTCGATGCCGTTAAGTCTTAAGTGATTTGTTAACTGCTAAAAAGTAATGAATGTAATGTTTCTTAACTTTAAATGTGTTTGAACCCGCTGTAAATTGATTTTAGGCGAGTATCATTCGCCCCAACTGCTGAGCTGATAGCTCAGGACGCGCGCACACTGTGAGGAAATGTTCACTCGTGTACAAAATTATTCAACATGTTGAATATCCGACGCCGATAGCACGCGTGCTAGAAAACGCAGAATACGACACCGCACACTTGAGGAAACAGCTCAGCTAACAGTCACGAGTGACGCTCAGCTCAGTTGTTTCCTCCAGTGTGCACTGGGCTTAAGAGAATGGTGCGGCCGTCAACTCATTCCCAGGACATTTTGAACGTGGCAATGGAGTCGGCCGGGGTCATAGTACCATAAAATATACTGGGTGTTTCAATTTTACAATTAGTGCATATCTTGATTGTTTATTTGAATACTAAATAAGTGGTTAAGAGTCTAGACAATAAGGTAAAATATCCTGGAAACGAGGTTTATAGGACGTCTCGAGACATAATCTTCTTTTAAAGGACTGTTGAAAAGCTAAGAAACCTATTTTGCTATTTCTTTTTAGAAACCTTTCCATTTCATTTTGTAAAGTGCTTTCAAGTACTCACAGTTGTTGTTACATCATGCTCTCTTTTTTAGATCAATAGGTTTTTGGAATCGGAAAAAGAATCCTCGGAACAGGTATATAATTTAATGAATCTGATGTTTTGGGAATTGCATCTGAATATATCTCTTCTTACTGCATGGTTTTTGTCTGACGGTCTGCCGCTTCGATCATAAAATAGAAAGGAATTTCGAGCGTATTTATTGCCGTAACTGATGAGTGATGTGTTTTCATTTCTTCAGATAAAGAAACTTCATGATCACGTTAAGAATCTTCAAGTGACTGCTGGTGAATACGAACAACTAAAAATCGCGTTTGCGGAGCAAACAAACAGGTGACTACCGGAAATAGAGTCTAACTTAGGTTCCATAATTACAACTGTGATAATTACTGTGATAAACTACTATATTTGCACATTTCCCATTAGACACTTTGTACAAAAAACAATAATTTATTCACAAGAAACAGGCCTTCAGCACTCAAAAATGAGATTCCCAGATTATGAAGACTGTTGGGGCATAGTCAAATTTTCCTTGAGCATTCATTTCATTATAACTTTTATCACCAACTGTGCTCAGTAAAGTATCAGGTTTTCAATTTTGCTATATTCGTTTATTGGTTTATATGTTGACGTTTAGATCGGAGACTTTGAGGGAAACTTTGAATGCCGCACAAAAGGAACACGAATCTTTATCTGAACTCAGTGAAATGCTCCGACGCCATAATGATAATCTAAAGAATCAACATGACTGGTGAGTATCATTTATTGCGAGAAAATACGAATTCACGGCTTGTTATTTTATATACTCTTGTCGTACTCTCGTTTGTTTTAGCTAATTCATGCATGCCTTATATTACTCGATTCAACATTGATATGAATATGGCGCTATTATTGCTACTCAGGTTTTAAATAACGAAAGTGATCATCACTCGAAGTTCATAGTTACAACCCAACATTTTGACACTCTGGTCTAGTGTCTTCATCGGGGGTTACATTTTCAATATAAAAGACCAGATATAATAAAACTCCTCTTTATACGTGCATCTCACCGAAGCTTCCCGCCTATATATATATATATATATATATATATATATATAATATATATATATTTATATATTTATATATGTTATATCAATAAGGACTTTTAACTGAAACTTTACTAATGTTAAAAGAGTTGACACTTCCACCTGATCAGTTATCCCTTGGAAGCTACTGTTACCTTATTTTCCATTTCCAACATTGATCTCTAACTATTCCTAGCCTGCATGCTCAATTCTTGACCCTTTTCCTAATGCTATCCCTTTTTTTTAACCTAGTGCAACCCGCCAGTTGCATCAATTGGAAGAGGAAAGAAAGAAAATCATGCAACAGTTGCAACTGAAAGATCTAAAAATCAACGGTATGCAGTTTTCTGTTTTTAAGCCGGTTTACGGATAAGAATTTCCACTGGTGGATTCTATGTGTGTTCCTTCATAACTGAACGAACTGCTCTCTTAACAACAGGAGCAAAAAATAATTACCATTTGTCTGACTGATCATTTCGTTTTTGTGGGTAGCCCGCTCGCGGTCTAACCACTATGTTACACGCAAAAAACGATGAGCGATGATGCATGTCTGTCCGCCGAGTTTGTTTATCTACGAAAGAGACTAGGCAGAGCCGAAATTTTGTCAGCCTGATTGGTGTAAACTGGCCTAAACTTTAAGACAAATTAATCGTAGAAATGGTATTTCATTGGTATTTCATTGATTATTCTTATGTCTTAACAGTATCCAACTAGCAAACTGGCCCATTTTTGCCTTTGCGTATGGCATTAGAACGTAAAACTAAGCATCATGCAGTTGATTTCCCCGCCATTATTGCGGCCTGTCATTTGACATTGAACAAAACTTCAAAATCTTTGCCAATGCTTTGGAGGCTACCCACATGTATGCATTGCATACCTATTTTTATGGTTTCCTAGAGTTGTCGGAAACCCTCGAGGCCCAGGCTGAAAATTTGCAGAACAAGAAAAGTGATATTGAGAAGCTGGAAGAATCATTCGCAGTTACAAAGTCAGAACTCGCCAAGAAAGAGCAAGCAAGAAAGGAGTTGGCACATAAGGTTGGTTGTTTGGTCTCAAGGTGCATGTACTTAGGCATACTTAGGGTTAAGATCGGCTTCCGCTACGAGTACCGATACCAATAATCAGTCACGCGCATGGGCAGATGTAACAATCGTCCAAAATGTGACAAGACTGGAAGTCGCGAGTACCGTTTTGGGGCTGAAAATGGTAGTGGATAGGTAGGCGAAGTACCGAAATATATTTACTGTATTATTGTCATTTTCTGCAGTAGTTTTCTAATAATATTATTTAGCTTTTAGTTGTATAATGTTTCTGCTTTGTTGGTGAGACTTAAGGATTGTGAGTAGAGTTTTTGATGTGAATACAGCCGCTATACTCCGCCATGTTTATTTACTTCTTACGGAAGTCACAATCTTAACGCTTTAAAATTTCTGCGCTGCCAAACTGTAATACGTCATGTATTTTCGTATCGGTACTGGTAGTGGAAGTAGATCTTAACCTCCCTATTAACTTGACGAGAGCGGATTTCGTTTCCTGGTCTTCGATATAAGAATGCATTATAGGGCTGTTCACATGAGCCCAGTTATACCCGAGATTTAAAGAATCCCGAGATTAATTTGAGTTATTGAAATAAGTAAATAACATGTGGTGCAGTCATTCTAACAATAGCATGTGTTTGCTTGGTTTCAATAATACCTAATACCTCAAAATCGATTCTCCCGCTTCGTTAAATATCGGTTATAGCCGGGCTCATATGAACAGCCCCTTAGTTTGATTTCTGCGTATATTCCAAGCTCAATTATCTTTTGGCCAGCTAAGTTTCTGGATGTCCCTGGGCATACTTCTGGGAAACATGTTTCAGTTTGAATTGTCCCTATTTCCCGTTTTCTATCGCACAATTGTGTTTCTAAGAACTGCTCTCTTGTGTTCGTCTCAAGGGAAGGCTAAGGTAGTAGCCACTGCATGGTAGGGTGCCTCCGTTATCACTATAGTAAACATATAGAAACCTAAGCCAGGGTGAAGGCGCTATATTATACTCGCTATAGTTTAATGTACTCTATCAGGCTTCATTAATATGCGCGAGCGTCGCTTGTAGGCAAATTTAGCTTTGCTGGTATCATTTCATCACTTTTACACCGTGATACACGATAATTAGTCTGTTGTCATCGTAAAACAGCACCGTGCATAAACAGTTCTCCCTTGACCCTGCTGGTAAAATTAATTAAAATGCAAGAAGGGAAGCTGCTCCTACTGCCCCCTCCCCAGTCTATGACCGAAAATTCAAAAGAGAAATGAAAAAGAGAGGTATCGTCTTTTATGTCTTTTGGGGAAGGTGTCTGCATGTTAAAAACAAATCCGCATTCGAGACTGAGTTTTGCATGAGCGTCTACACAATGGACTGAGTGTAGTTAGATATGTAGCTAGAATGAGCAGTTGAAATGAATCGCTCTTTACTTCAGGTTGCCTCTCTGGAAGTGGTATGTAGCCAGCATGAAAAGGTGGTGAAGGAGAAAGAACAGCAATTAAAAGATCAACAAGGACATCTTGATAAATACGCTCAAATGTCTGCCATGATTCACAGTCTAACGAGTGGTACTGTATCTATAGTTAAGAATGAAGAAAAGGCAGTGACAACTAGTAAGAAAAAATAACCAATGTATCCTTGGAAGATTTATTATCTTAAAACAGTAGAGTAATTTATACTCTGTAATAATACCCTGATTGAATCGAAATGGGCTTAGATTGACGTTTACAGCAAACGACTATCTTTTGTGGTTATTTCTTTCTCCATCCTACGCAGGGGTGAAAGGTCGAGCACAATCATAACATCCGTTTATATATATCCTATAGGTTTTTATTTTCTTCTGTATACTGCAAGATATTTGCGAACAAGTATATCAATATGCAAACAGGATCGTTGGACCATGCAATGAATAATCCTGACGCAAAGATTATTTTGAAAATGAAAAGATAGTATATGCTCTAGCATACATACACGTAGCATCAACAACGATGCATGATACATCGTCATACTTCTGTCACGAGGAATGATAAAAAACGGCCTGTCTGAGGAGTCACCTTAACTATAGTTCTCTTTCCGTATTGTGACGTCGCGTAAATAAATCTGATTATAAAACAGTTTATGGTTAGGGATGTTTTTGTTCGCAAATATCTCCAGAAAAAAATTTAAAGAAGGTTCCATTGTTAGCAAATTTTGTAAGAGAGCATTTTTTGAATTCCACTTTCCATTCTGTGGTTAACTCATGCCTCAGCATTGACGCAAAGCTCATCATATATAAACTTTTAAAAAAATGGTGTTGATCTGAAGTTAGCGGTTTGAGTAAACGTTAATCTTAACCTGCCCAATATCCACACACGCGAACAATATTAGTATTCTTACTCTTTCCAAATTTTTAGAATAGCTTTAATTGAATGATTTAGGGATTTGAGAAACGTCTAGTGTATATAAATTTGACTATAATCTTACCTTGCCATTTCGAAATATGATTGTCGGCATCACCAATGGTATTAACAGGCGGATGTGAAGTATCTTCTAGTGGGAATAAAAAAGGTTTTGGCGTTTTTTAATAAGAATTTTGTATGGATTTTCGCTATTTTGTTCTTTGATATCAAATTCGGATTAGTTAGAATTTTTTAGCATGACCTTATTATGAAATTGGCCCCATAAATACTTAACTAAGTTGTCCTCCATTAAACTTGAACATTAAACGACCAAAGATTGATGGTTATCTTCTTACTTAAGGTATTTTGACAGAATTTTACATTGCCACTATTCAACCATGATGAAAATTATGACCCACGTATCAAAAACTACCTATCAAACTATTTACTAATTTAAATCTATTCGGTTATGCTAGCAATGACAGTGATATATGTCACATCGGTTAAGAGTGGTTGGCTATATCTATTGAAGTGTTTTTGTGTATGCGAAGTGAAATTTTCTGTCCAAATATGAAAATTTACCACAGAGAGGTTTTTATATAAAAATGTACCTATATATTTTCTAGTTCAATGATACTTAGTTCGATCGTACTTTGCGCGCTCAAAAATGTTCCTGAAAGGCAACTTACATACATGCATGGTGATAAATCTCCTTTACGAAGCTTGTCTTGAGGACATTCACAAACACGTGGCTTCCTCACGTTACGTATACAACTAATAAGACATCTCATGCGTTTGTTTTGTGTGCTAATCGTTTTGTAAGCGGCTTTTGCAACGAATTTGTCTTCAGGAAATTGATCTGAAAGCCCTTTCCGTTTTGGTAACTAGATAAGGTAACTGTTCCTCAGAATGTTTATACTAACTTATCAACGAGATTATGTCGTCTATTTTCTTTATATACACACACTTGTGTTTTTACGAGATATATGGTTTTAGTCAACGACTGTAGTTTTGGTAGTCCTCTTGTAATTTTGCATGTCAAAGAACAACGACACGAATTATCAGTTTGTAACTTGTAAGTCACCATGCACGTATATTTTTATTCCTACATGCAGTTGCACCGATGAAGACCAGAGTTGGCGTCGAAAACTTTGCAGGAATAAACACAGTTGGCATGCATGTATACCTACAAACCGATAATTCAGGTTATAGGCTCATTTCCATTGGCGGTGAAAGCCTAAAAATATTATCAATGAATATGCATGTACAAATGATACAACACGTAATAACAAATCCGTAGGGTTTTCATTGCTGAATTTTCAAAAATGCCAAATGTAGTGTGTGCAACTATACTATATATGATATATACAATTTCTGTTATCATATGCCTATGATATATAATGAACTTTAGTTTTTGGTTGGAGTGTGCAGAACACGAACTCTAGTTTTGCGGCAGTGATCGCGAACACGAGCGTGATCGCTGATTTTAAACATTTATTGTATAGTACGTCGAATGCCGTAATCCCGTCGTAATTCATTGTTATTCCCAGTCCGTGATCCAAAAACCGGATTACGGCGAAATGCACCCGAACTTAACTTATGGTAACAAGCCCTAAATCCCTTTATAAAGAATATTGGAAGGTTAAATTGGATAACTATGCATAAGTATGAATGTAAAAACCAATGTTAATTTACTTACGACTATTTTTTCAACCAAAACCGTCTTTCAATACTTTGCTGTGACGCAAAACAGTGTGGGTTCAAAACATAGACATCGCATTTTATCCACTTATAAATGGAAAGAGGATTTTGAGACAAATTTCCTGGTATCATTGTTGGAAGTTTGCCTTCAATTAGATTACGGACCAAACGCGTGGTTTTCAGTGAAATTGATTATCAGATGTCTCATCGTGCTATTCATAAGTTAGAGTCTTTCTTGTGAAACACCACCAAAATTGATAAGTAATATACAGTATACTTAATCTTGTAGTCAAATTCCATACTGAAAAGTACCTCAGAGGTGGTAAAATCCTGGTCTTAACTCGCCGGCAATCAAAATCCTATATTACTTGACACAATCTTGCGTTAAGCATGGTTTTCATCTGTCGTAATTCATCGGCGATGTTCTACGATCGTATTTATTTTCTTCTATAGACAATGGATTCTATTCGTCAATGACCATGCACCAATGAATTACCGCGATATATGAAAACCGGCTTTATTGTCATGCGGATAAACATGCATGCACATTCAGTGCATGTGCACAATTTTATCGACGAGAAAGGCATCATCACATTATTGACCCATGCAGCTACTGAGCTTCGAGTCCCAGTTTGGTGTTATTTTTACAGGTTTAGGAATTCGTATTCGTATTATGGTAATATGAAAGATCAGTGTATAATTGAAGCTATTAAATTTTTGAAATTTTCTTGATTACAGTTGCACTTAGAGAGCCTCTTTTGTATGAATAAAGTTCAAATTGCAGGAACAACATTTCTGTTGTAACTGAAAATCATCTGTCAAGAGAGAGCGCGGGCGTGGGAACTTACAAATCCTTCGGATATTTTATATCGTATGTTGGTCGAATTTTATACGCAACATCTGCTGTATACGTTTGCTAAGTGATAGCACATTATACTATTACTCATCGATGTTGTTCAAATAAGTGCTTGATAACGAGTTTATACATTTTTTACGACGAACCACTTCGTATTTTCCGATCCGCGCGCCATTTTGCGATTTGATGAACTGGTCCAGGAAGTTATCCATAGTTAAATATAAGCTCCGTTTGCACTCAATAAAAGCTTTTAATAATTAGTCATTGCCTGGGTATACTGCATGTTAATCTTATTTTAAAGTTACTTATATTGCTACCTGTCCAGACATAAAATATTTCCCAGATTAGAGCGGCCATCAGCCAGCTTCCTTTTAAATTTCTGACGTATACTGCGGACCAGCCTCAGGCTTTTTTGCTATATTCGAAGTTGAGTATTAACAGAACGCAACCGCTAATGTTGTTGTGCGCTGTTCATGGAAAAACCCAGGCAATAAAAGCATGCATGCGCGTGCCTTGCAGCACAACATTGATGGAATTTATTCGAAAATAGGTTAGTGTCAATATTGAGTAGTCAATTAGAGGTCAATTACACTGCATTGAATATATTTTTCTAGATCCGTGAATATTTATATTGATTACAACTGCATGATGTACTGAATAATATTTTTCAATCGCTCTGAAATTGCCCGTTGTTAGGTATAACCTGGATTAAACCTTATAGTGACAGTTTCTAAATTCGGGCTTCTCTCTAATAGCTGTTTAGCTTCAAATCTGTGGTTTTATTGCTTCTCGAGCATGTTTATTAAAACGCTATCTGGTGTTCAGCGCCATTTTCGCCCATTTTTAAGCTTTCAGAAAATACGTATTTAAATTAAACAGCAATATCCCAGATAAAACTGTAAAAAACAATATTAAGATATAATAGCTCCTTTATTTCGATATATGCAATCAAACCTGAGGTGATCGTTTCTCAGGTTAGGCCACCATACATAGTCCATGTAAATATCATATGGAATCGTAGGCCGTATTCTCTGGCACGAAAAGTCGCTTAGAAAACGATTTTCGTTGCCCCCCTTCGGGCACTACTTGAAAACACGATAGAAAATTAGGATAAATTATAGAAAGTCTAAATTCACTTGTTTTCACCTTCACAAACCTGCAGTTTTCGAGCATTTCATCTTCGAAACATCAGTGAATTTGCATGTTTTGCAATACACCGACGCCATTTTGATTCAGGAAATGTCGAGGATACTTGGTGTAATATACGACATATATAGCAGATTCAGCAGTTTTATACCGGTATTTAAATGAAGTTTCCTACATTTTTGCTGTGCAAGCAGGTTTCAACAAGGAAGCTTTGAGTGGAGTTTTACGAGGTTTTTCGCAAATTTTCATAGTTTTTCAAAACTGAATTAGTCAGAGAAGAATTGGACAACAATTAATCGGAAAACATCCGCCAATTTTGCATACACGCATCAAAATCATCCACGAGCGTTTTGTTTCTAGCCAAGTTATATAAAATAATTACTACACAATTCCTTTCCAGCAAACCTTTGTTTTAATTAACTACTTTTATAATACACACGTTTTCTCAGCAAAACTATTAACAACATCTCAGTTTTTGACAAAGTTAATTACCAACGCCTTTATCTTATTATCATCAATCCACTAAAAACGAATTTGTTGAGCGAAAACCCAGACATCTTTACGAAGTTGAAAAAGAACAAATTTCAAACATTTTCCTTATGAAAACGTGTGAGGACTTGTGAAAACTGCCAAGTTGGCCCAAGTCTAAACTTGCTGAAGTATTGGAAAATGAATCTGGAAATCCAGAAGTCAATGTTTGTGCATTTAACAACAATGCACTGATTGTAGATGCTATGGCAGTTATTCAGTCGATGAAAGGAAAATGGAAAACATTTGGCGATGATGCTCTTTTAAAAACCTCAACACGCTAGCACGAAAGTATAATTCCAAATGATTAGATTGTTGCAGACAGGTATCCTTAGTTGAGCATAAAGAATGCAGAGAAACAACGAAGAGCTGAAGGAGTCCAGAAAGTTCAAATCTTCGGAAAAGATCAGAGTGTTCCAAAACAGTGGAAAAAGTGTTTAAGATGCGGTGAAAACCAGAAATCCCTCATATCTTTCTTATGTGAACACTGGAGGTCATGTAACTCCTCCCGGTGGTTTTCCATTTCAACTATGTACGTAACTGCTAAAGAAAGATGCTATGTTTTATATCCCGGTGATTCCCCGAACGATATTGTTACAAGTAATGAGGTGTTTTCGCTTCATAGCACCACGAAGAAGCAGACACTCGTTTAATTCTACATGCCAACCACGCAGCAGCAACGTACGATAAAGTTATTATCAAAGGCCCTGATACAGATGTTCTTATACCTGCGATTGCCATGCAACAACAGATGCAGAAAGAGATTTTCTTTTTGACTGGCACGGGAGATAGACGTCGTTGCGTATTTGTAGCAATTATCTCGAAATTCTTGGGCGTGGATGTTGCACTTTGTTTACCAGGCTTTCATGCTTTTACCGGTAATGGCATTAGCAATCAAGCAGCATCATGGTATCAGTGTTTAAGTGCAGAAGTCGATCTCCCATCACTGGTTGGCAATGGCTGGACGCTTGACGATAAAGAGCTGGAGATAACTTGGATGACACGCCCAC